CTGTAACACCAGGTGTACTCAGGTGATGGTGTTATGTGCGCTGTAACACCAGGTGTGCTCAGGTGATGGTGTTATGTGTGCTGTAACACCAGGTGTACTCAGGAGGTGGTGTTATGTGTGCTGTAACACCAGGTGTACTCAGGTGATGGAGCCCAACCACTGGCACTGTCTGGGATCGAACGCCGAACCCTGCTAAAAGCCAAGCCCTTGCTGTACCGACCAGACGAAACGAATGATCACAAGTGACCTCTTCACCACGTCTCAGATGTTCTCGGGGGTCCGTTCTCTCCGGCCTAACTCTACCTTCCGGCGAGTTGCACCTTACAGATGTTACCATAAGACTTGGCACCACTTGGCACCGGGCCCACGACCATCCGTCAAGAGTGCCACACCATCAAGAGGAGCAGGGAGCCTCGACGGTGCCAAAGACCAGCATCAACATGTCACAGTAAAGAGGCTGAAACATAAACTACATAATGAGAGGAGTCGATGCGTTGTTTATAAGACTCAAGAGTGACAATTACCGTGTGTCTTACGTAACTAAGATGCTGAGGGTTAACTTAGAGTATTGAAGGGACTTAGACCTGTGTTTGTGTGGGGATGAAAGCCATTTCCTCTCGTGTGGTGATACTGGGGCTTGTCGGCTTGTCTCGTGTGCTAGAGATACATGTGGCTTTCACTGTTTCACTAAACACAGCTGTCATTACGACACACATCATACAAATTGTTCACCACTTCACTATACATAACTATCACCACCACACACTCATACTAAAATTTTACTATCTCAATATACCTATCACACGCATACAAAACATTCACTAACTATACATAATTATCACCATCATACACTGTATTGAACGCTGACAATGGCACACTGTTGTATATGAAGCACTCAAAGACACCCAATACAAAATATAGTTTCCTGTTATTATAAAATTATTATAAAAAAACTACATTCACCATACAGAACTAAAGCCACAATATATTGACACCATATAAAATAATAACTTTAATACACTATACAAAATTCACCGTAGTTCACAATACAAATCTTCCAATGCACTTTACTATTTTGACAATTCACTGCAAAACACCCAATCACGATATATATAAAATTTATATTCACTTATTATATAGAAAACTATCAACACCACAATTTAGTAAAGTATAAACACAATACACTGCAGGAAGCTCATCACAACAACTTACAAAGTCAGCTTCATCACACTATACAAAACTGTCATCACAGTAAGACCGCTAAACACTATACAAAATTGGTATTTACTAACACCATACAAAATTGGTATTTACTAACACCATACAAAATTAGTATTTACTAACACTATACAAAATTAGTATTTACTAACACCATACAAAATTGGTATTTACTAACACTATACAAAATTGGTATTTACTAACACCATACAAAATTAGTATTTACTAACACCATACAAAATTGGTATTTACTAACACTATACAAAATTGGTATTTACTAACACCATACAAAATTAGTATTTACTAACACTATACAAAATTGGTATTTACTAACACTATGAGGAAAGAAAATAACACAATGAAAGAAAACACTATGAGGAAAGAAAAGAAAGACCCAGCTGCGTCTAGGTCTCTCTCTCCTATTCCCCTCTTTCTCCTCTTTCTTTACTCGTGTTCCCCCCTCTATTCCCCTCACCCCCTCTCCACCTTTTTTCCCGTAACATTCCCCGTCTCTGCCCTCTCTCCGAATCCCCCTCTTTCACCCTTTCTACTTTTCTCAAATCCCTCTCCCTTTCCTCACCCTCTCTTCCCTCTCTCCTACCCTCTCCTCCCCTCTTTTGTGCTCTTCCCCTCTCCTATCACCTTCCCTCTCTTCAAACGTCCTACATCTACTAATTTTCCATCCAGCGGTCGACTCCACAGAAGCATTCATAAATTTTAACATGCTGTTCATTCAAAACGAGAATTTTCTAAAATATGAATTAATACTATAATACATTAGCATATTGTGCATTTATAGCCATAAGTTAGGTTAGGTGTTTAGGTTCTATTGGCGATTATTTGTATTTGTAGTACGTGGGTGAAGCATTTACAGCGTTGTGGTTCGAACAAAATTCGTCAGTGACGAACTTGTTCCGGAAGTGTTCGAACAAAATCAGTTGTGAGTCATGTGTAAACCGTTTTTCATTCACAAACAGAATGTTTAGCGGTTGCATGGAATGAACATTTAGGCGTTGTTGATAAGAATGGATTGCTAGTGTGAACGCTGCGCCGCTTATATGGGTGTGAAATGGTTGACGGAGGTTTGTGCAGCCCGTCCTCATAAACTAAGTCCCATAGTCCATTCCATGCACCCGCCAAACCCCCTGTTTATGAATGAAAAACGGGTTACCCACGATTCACAACACTTCCGGAACAAGTTCGAACACTTCCGGAACAAGTGCTTCACTGACGAATTTTGTTCGAACCACAACGCTGTAAATGCTTCACCCACGTACTACAAATACAAATAATCGCCAACAGAACCTAAACGCCTAACCTAACCAGTGCCTAAATATGCACAATATACTAATATATAACAATATTAATTTATATTTGAGAAAATTCCTATTTTGAATGAACAGCATGTTAAAATTTATGAATGCATCTTTGTGTTCAACCGCTGAATGGAATGGACTTGGTGTGAGTACGGGTTGGAGGTTTGGGATCACCAGACGGGATTCTATCAAAAGATTACATATGGATGGGCCAGTCATCGTTTGGTAGAGTGTCCTAAGGCAAATTATTGATACGTTAGTTTAGCTAGCTAAGACCACGTTTTCTAGTTAGGTTCTGTGATCCTGTTCTTGTTGACTGATTAGTTGCCTTACTTTGGACAAGGAATTGTCAATGTGTCTATTTTTAGCCCACAGTTCAAGACTCGGAAAAAAGACTTGACTTGCCCTGAAGAGGTAAGTCTTAATGCCAGCATTATGACACAGATGTAAAGACTTGCTGCTTATAGCAAGTGGTCGCAATATTCAAGAGCAACGCCACTTTAACCCCGAAGTGGCGTTGAACCCCGGTCAGTGAGTTCAACGTCGTCCACGTTGAACCCCGGTCAGTGAGTTCAACGTCGTCCACGTTGAACCCCGGTCAGTGAGTTCAACGTCGTCCACGTTGAACCCTCCGACCGGTGAGAATTAGTTGGCAAGTAATGTAATGTTCGGGACGAGGGCTCCTCACCACTCACCAGGGTACGCCAGTGGCACTGACTGTGGCGGGTGAGTGTTCCAGGGCTTCACTGTCATGATGGTGTACTGTGATAACTGTACACTCCTCCACTGGGTATTATCACACTGCTTTCTCTTGGTTCGAATTATTGTGAGAGGTCTCCGTGTATGGTGAGCCGGTCGGCCGAGCGGACAGCACGCGGGACTTGTGATCCTGTGGTCCTGGGTTCAATCCCAGGCGCCGGCGAGAAACAATGGGCAGAGTTTCTTTCACCCTATGCCCCTGTTACCTAGCAGTAAATAAGGTACCTGGGTGTTAGTCAGCTGTCACGGGCTGCTTCCTGGGGGTGGAGGCCTGGTCGAGGACCGGGCCGCGGGGACACTAAAAGCCCCGAAATCATCTCAAGATAACCTCAAGATGGTGCTTGGTGTGGTGGGGTCCTCAGTGTATGGTGCTTGGTGTGGTGTACACACTGTCTAGTGTGGTACACTCGCATAATGTATTTTTAATGTTAATGCATTAAGTACTAATACTACTTTTAATAAAACATTTAAGATTTTCATTGTATTATAAATCCAGCTCCTCCTGGTGGTGGATCCTCCACACCTAGACTAGTGCTGACGTGTTAAGTCTTAACAGCTGTTCGCAGGAGCAGTACAGTTCCAGTCAGTATATTCCTCACAAATGCAAGTTACAGAAATCACCACAAAATCCCTCAATCATTACGGATCCGTAGAAAATATATCGTGACGCCGTACGAATCTTTCACTATTGCTCATTACTCAAAACAAGATCTATACACACACTAAATAACTATTGTCATCCCTAAAAAAAACTTGCTGTAACATATATATAAAAATAAATTTTCCGTCATCACTAAATTGTACAGAACTATCGTATTATGAAACTCAAATATAATACACAATACAAATTCTTCACAATACTAAAGGCATCTGGTAGCGTCAGGCTTTACAAAACTTTAAAATATAGTTTGAAGAGGTAATTTTTGAATTGCCTTTACCACTGAAGAACTTAAGATACAGAAGATTCGTAATGGTGGAATTTGTGGAAAATGTCCCGGGTTCGATCCCAGGCGCCTGCGAGAAACAATGGGCAGAGTTTCTTTCACCCTATGCCCCTGTTACCTAGCAGTAAAATAGGTACCTGGGAGTTAGTCCGCTGTCACGGGCTGCTTCCTGGGGGTGGAGGCCTGGTCGAGGACCGGGCCGCGGGGAGACTAAAAAGCCCCGAAATCATCTCAAGATAACCTCAAGATAATAACACTACTTTTTACCGCCATTCATTCATACACAGTTTAAAAAGACAATGTTTCTTGTGTTGCTCGTATTGACGTCATTCCAGTGAAGGTTGATAGTGCAGCAAGCGGCAACTGGCTGACAGGGGCCCCGTATGGTGGACTCAGGATGACAGAGGCGGAGGTATTTAGGTGTCATTAATGGGGTAAGATGGACTCTCCTGCCAAGTACTCTAAAATTACCACCTTTAATATAAGACATTTAGCTCACATGTCACCGCAGTGTTTCAGTTGCTTCGGTAATATTGGCTCGATAGTTGTGCGGTTCTTCAGGACTCTTCGGCCGCAGCAGCACCAACTCTTCGCGGAAGGTTCAGCAACCACCAGCATCTGTCTCTCATCTTGGCAGACATTATTTACCATCGCGTTCTTGGCAATGAGACGGACACCAAGAATACATATATGGCCGTGTCAGTCGGACAAGATATTATATTAATTGTGGGTTAGGTCTTCGGCCACCATTTGGTCGTGAAGAGCCGGAGTCGAGTGACGAGGGAGCCGCCGCAGCGTGTGTTTGTGAAGAGCTGTTGTGGTGAGTTCCTCTTCCATCGCCTCCACACTACACCCACCTGATTACCGTGTCTCCTGGGGCTTCTCTCCGCACGTGTCCAGATAACAGCGATATGGAGACCGTGTCTGCCCTCCGTCGGGCTTGTCGCCGCATGTGTGTTGCTAACAGTGTTGCAGAAACATAGCATCTTAAGAAGGATGTGCATGAAGCGTGTATGTAAAAGCCTTGCCAGTATAGGCTGGGTGAATAGGTTATCATATTGTTTAAACACCCATAGATTTATTCTGCAGAAATAGCACATCTCTGAAGTTTCTCCAGGCTATCTTGATGCACTCTGGTATCCTCCCTGTACTTCCTTACATGCAGTGTACTTATAAGTACTCTGTACTTATTCAGTCTATGTGTGAGTTTTGAATTATTCATTTTATGGCTATTGCCTAGCGTAGGTATTTGGCTTAAAATAAGGCTTAAGATCTATCAACCTCTCGAGGGTTATAAAAGCTAATCAACAAGTATACTTTAGTTATAAACGTAATCTACGTTAACGTAAACTCGTATATGCGCCACGAAACGCGGTACACCTATAGGCGCATACAATCCTTGATACTATTTGTAGGTTTGGTTTGGTGTTGGGCTTAAGACCTATCAACTTCTTGAGGGCCTCAAATTCTTAAAGCCACCGCAAGTGCTTACTGATCAAATAGCAAGAATAATTTAGTCCTGAACGTGATCCAGAACTAAGGCACACTTCTCTGTGTGTATATATATATATATAAATATATCTCTTGTATCAGATGTTTTCCTTGGCTACTCATATTCAACTCCTTGAAGGAAGTTGCATTCATTGTATTGTCACAATTCATTGTCCAAGATTCGTTTACAATTTGTAATTTTTGTTGATTTCTCAAAAGAATCCTCAGCTCCTCGTCGCATTACGTCGCCTCAAATTAAACATTCATCAGTTTAATTGTCTATAATTCATCGCAAGTTATGATAACTTATATTCTATTTCAGTTTCCCCATTACTCTTCACACTCCACACAAAAATGCGTCCCAGCCTAACCTTCCGAATTTATCAGCGATGATTAACTTCAGTCCTATGTAATGTGATTTGTTTTGGCCGTAGAATTAAACCATACACGGGAATATATACCGAGAGGTGTATCTATCAGTGAATATACACTGCAAGTTTACTTTAAGCCTTAAGTATAGCAAAAACTAAAGTATACCAACGTTAGACTCGGAGAGCATTGCGGCCTTAGTAATCGCGAAGGGCATTCTCTAGCTTTAATAGGTTACCCGGGACAGTGGTAAATTAATCCTTGAGATTCTGAAATTATGATTTTTGCCTTTGGACATTTAGTGGTACTTTGGCCATTTGGTGGTATTTTGGTCATTTGGTGGTACTTTGGCCATTTGGTGGTATTTTGGTCATTTGGTAGTACTTTGGACATTTGGTGGTACTTTGGCCATTTGGTGGTATTTTGGTCATTTGGTGGTACTTTCGACATTGGTGGTGCTTTGGACATTTGTTGGTACTTTGGACATTTAGTGGAACCTCGAACATTTTCCGGGACTTTGGATATATGGTGGTACCTTGGACAAGGTAGTACCTTGAACGTTTGGTGGTACTTTGGCCATTGGGCAGTACATTGACCATCTGGTGGTATCCCTAACAAATGAAGGAACCGTTGTCATCGGGCAGTGACCTCACGCTGGCCGCCGGACCATCTTAGGGCGGACCAGGCCCCGCGAAGTCCCGCCCAGAAGACACACTATACCTGACCTGCGACCCGAGCCTTACCATCTATATATACACCTGCCTGACGAGTGACGACGAGAGCCTCCGCGGACCGTGACACATGGAAGACACAGCGACAACAGACAGGAACATATATATGTGTTAGGATCTGACAGTCAATGCAACACATGTGAGGAATGAAATGAGACTTGTTGCTGTGTCAAGCCAGGACCTTTGTGTTATTTATATATATATATATATATATATATATATATATATATATATATATATATATATATATATATATATATATATATATATATATATATATATATGTGTGTGTGTGTGTGTGTATATCACGAAAATAAACATATATATATATATATATATATATATATATATATATATATATATGTGTGTGTGTGTGTGTGTGTGTGTGTGTGTGTACTCACCTAATTGTACTCACCTAATTGTGCTTGCGGGGGTTGAGCTTTGGCTCTTTGGTCCCGCCTCTCAACTGTCAATCAACTGGTGTACAGATTCCTGAGCCTACTGGGCTCTATCATACCTACATTTGAAACTGTGTATGGAGTCAGCCTCCACCACATCACTTCCTAGTGCATTCCATTTATTAACTACTCTGACCATTTATTAATTACTCTGTGTGTGTGTGTGTGTGTGTGTGTGTGTGTGTGTGTGTGTGTGTGTGTGTGTGTGTGTGTGTGTGTGTGTGTGTGTGTGTGTGTGTACTCACCTAGTTGTGTCTGCAGGATCGAGCATTGACTCTTGGATCCCGCCTTTCGAGCATCGGTTGTTTACAGCAATGACTCCTGTAAACAACCGATGCTCGACAAACCGATGAACAACCGATGCTGTGTGTGTGTGTGTGCGTGCGTGTGTGTGTGTGTTGGAGGGGAAGGGGGGGAAACCACATGTGAAGAATTAGAGAATGCTGAACGCGTTTTCGGCTCAATTCGTCTTCACCAGTGCAAGATAAAGAGTGACTCTGTCTTGCTCGGGTAAAGGCGAATTGAGCCGGAATCGCGTTCAGCCTTTTCTAATTCTTCACATGTGATTTTTCCCTCATACTTGAATCAGTGTTTTTGGGATTGATGTTGCTTGATTTTTCTGTCTGCCTTTCTGTGCCTGTCTGCCTCTCACAGCCAGACATTAACACAGTTTATAATCTAATCATTTAAAGGTGAAAAACCTTATCATCAAAGTTTTTTAATTTTAGGATAAGTATTGTGATTAGATTTTTAGGGCATACATGTTCTGATATTAAATAATAATAATAATAATAATGAGAAAATCAGTAGGAACCATGAGGAAGATTCGAACCTAGGTTCTGGGTACTCTCAAGCACACATCTTACCCAGAGCATAGGTTCGAATCCTTCTCATGGCTCCTACTGATTTTCTTATTGATATATCGTGATTTATCATTGAAATCACATTTACGTAATATATCACGTAAATGTGTTATAATAATAATAATAATAATAATAATAATAATAATAATAATAATAATAATAATTCAAAGTCGTCTTATATTACGGCGAAATTTTTGTATGGGGGTCACGTTGACAGTGTCACTTGGCACTGTGTTTGTTCACAGGGTGTTTGTTCCTGATTCCGTGTGTGTGTGTGTGTGTGTGTGTGTGTGTGTGTGTGTGTGTGTGTGTGTGTTTGCTTTCACAAAATATTCATTAAAATGAATGAATGGATGGATGGATGGCAACAAACTTCCATTAAAAAAACAGTTTTGTAATATCATTGTTTATAATTAAGTTCTGTTTGTGAATTCTGACACCAAGAGGACAAATGTCAGTAGTTATAATAACTGTAGATAAAATAGCTTGTATAAAATATATAGACTTGATATTATATGGAATATGAAAATTATTACTGTATAAATACCTTTCATATAAGATGGTTTTATTTATCATTCATTGGCTCAGGAATAATGCTTGGTGAGTAATGTGGGTCAGGGAGTTGCGAGTGCGGTGACTCGAGCAAGCAATCGCTAATCCTTGAGTCAATAAGACAGGTATTACTAAGATTTCTTAATTTCCAGAGTTAAAATCCTAATCCACAATGTGCGATGACGACGCAACTGCATTGGTTGTGGACAATGGCTCCGGCATGGTCAAGGCCGGCTTCGCCGGTGACGACGCTCCCCGCGCCGTCTTCCCCTCCATCGTCGGCCGTCCTCGTCACCAGGGTGTGATGGTCGGTATGGGTCAGAAGGACGCCTACGTCGGTGATGAGGCCCAGAGCAAGAGAGGTATCCTGACTCTCAAGTACCCCATCGAGCACGGCATCATCACCAACTGGGACGACATGGAGAAGATCTGGCATCACTCCTTCTACAACGAGCTGCGTGTTGCCCCTGAGGAGTCCCCAGTCCTCCTGACGGAGGCTCCCCTCAACCCCAAGGCCAACCGTGAGAAGATGACACAGATCATGTTCGAGACCTTCAGTACTCCTGCCATGTACGTGGCCATCCAGGCCGTGCTGTCCCTGTACGCCTCTGGTCGTACCACGGGTATCGTGCTGGACTCCGGTGATGGAGTGACTCACACTGTCCCCATCTACGAGGGTTATGCTCTGCCCCACGCTATCCTTCGTCTTGATCTGGCTGGTCGGGATCTCACTAATTACCTCATGAAGATTTTGACTGAGCGTGGCTACTCCTTCACCACCACCGCCGAGCGTGAGATTGTCCGTGACATCAAAGAGAAGTTGTGCTATGTTGCTCTTGATTTTGAGAATGAAATGGCTCAGGCAGCAGCGACAGCTTCCCTAGAGAAGTCCTACGAGCTTCCCGACGGTCAGGTCATCACCATCGGCAACGAACGTTTCCGTGCTCCTGAAGCTCTCTTCCAGCCTTCCTTCCTGGGTATGGAATCTGTTGGTGTCCACGAGACCGTCCACAACTCCATCATGAGGTGCGACATTGACATCAGGAAGGACCTGTTCGCCAACACTGTCATGTCTGGTGGTACCACCATGTACCCTGGTATTGCTGACCGCATGCAGAAGGAAATCACCAACTTGGCTCCCTCCACCATCAAGATCAAGATCATTGCTCCTCCCGAGCGTAAGTACTCCGTCTGGATCGGTGGCTCCATCCTGGCCTCTCTGTCCACCTTCCAGTCTATGTGGATCACCAAGGAGGAGTACGACGAGTCCGGACCAGGCATCGTCCACCGCAAGTGCTTCTAAATGATATTTATTTGGTCATATACTAAAACACATACATAAATTATTTCAATATAATAGATAACATTGCTAATTATTATCTACCAGTGTTTCACTGACTGCGAATATCGAACATATATGCTTATTTTTGTTTACTAATAAAATAAAATTGTGATTAGACTAAAGTGTTTATCATAGCACATGTTAAATCTCCACCTACCACGATCATCGTCGGTGTTTAAGTATGAGACACACAACGCCGTCTGCCACATCATTAAATGTTAAGTTACTGGTATCTGATGTGCATCTTTTATCTATAAAAGACATTTGTAAATCCATATATTTATTTATTGTTTTTTTATGCACTTAATGTCTAAAATATTAAATATTTAAAATGCAAATACAAATGATAAATGCCTTAATATTTGTTTAGTCCTAATATAGTAAAGAAATAATATTTTCAAACTTATGCTGAGTATAAAAAAATTGGTATTGTGTGTATTGGTAATCTAGCGTGTGTGTTCTTGTGGACGGAGGAATAACATGGAATGACATTGTAGATGAAGCCGTAAAACTTACTACTAAAAGGAGAAATATTCACATTTATATACCACAGAATCTAATACAGATAAACAAAATAATTAAAGATAGAGCAGTGCAGCAGACGCAGACCACAACACAGCAGCTACAACAACAACAACAACAACAACATCTGCGGGTTGGTACTAGAACTCAATCAACAATTAATCACTTTGATGAAAGGGAAAATTGAGGAACAAAAGTACACTACACCGCATCAGGCTTGAATACCCATGTGCATGGGAAATATGTTTCAGGGTTCCAGAAAAAAAAGAGAAGAAATGTCAGCACTGTGGAAAATTACTCGATAAACTTCTCAAACATTATATAACTAAATGACATCAACATACGTTTCTGTCAAAATATACCAGAAACGAGTAACAGTAGGCCAGCCAGAGGTGTAGGGCCCGTGCAGGGAAAAATAAAATAATGGGTGGATGTATCATTCAGATATACTCGAGTGGAACATGATAAAATGTCTGAGATGTCATTAATTGTAATTTAGGGAATGCTAATTTAGTCAAGTAATGATTTCTTCTGTAAACAAACGATGACGGAGTTCCTGGATACTAACCCACACCACTGTGATGGACACTCTTACCTCAAGTGCAGTGTTTGAAGAGTTGGGACACACACCAACCCTCATCCATAGATTTAAAAGAATTTTGGTGTCGTCAACAAAATAATTATTCCTAATAGTCAGTACTTCAGCAGAAAGATAGATCACCACCCAGTACCCGGGACTGTCAGTTAGTAAGTACAGGAAAGGATACACACACACACACACACACACACACACATATCTATATAAATAAAAATGTATATGTTCGTTTGTTCAAAATCGCTAATCTTCGAAAGTTAATCACTGATTGCATTGAAATTTTGACACAACGTTTTATTCGCATACGAGCGTGTTTTTATATACCTACTATTTAGATTTTATGTCTGTGATAGGTAAAAACATTCTCTTTTGAAAAACTGTATTTTTCATGTGAGGGAAATCTCCAAAACCTTTTTACCAATTGCTTTGAAATTTTGATATAACGTTCCATTCGAATACGTGCGTGTTTTTATATACTTACTATATAGATGCCACACCTGTGACAGGTAAAAGGTAAAAACATGCTTTTTTCAAAACAGTGCCATCAGTTGCACATAAAAGCAACACACGCTATACTAAATATGTTACGATTCCATTTCAATGTTTCCGATTGCATTGATAAATTGAATTTTCATAGATTTCAATTTATTTTTATTTTTATTTAATTATTTTGTGTGACATTGAGTTGGAATTTAACTGTGTTGTTTACCATACCGTTCATTTCGTGAGTATAGTTTATTTTTTTATTTTTCCTTTTTTTTCATTTCGTTTTTTTAACTGTTCTTATTTTTCAGTGATGGAAACATTAGATCATTTGATGCTCCAATTTTTCTGATGGGAACATCATATATATGGGAACGCATCGGACGAGGGAGTGGGGAGGACGAGGAAATAGGGCAGGGAGTAATGGTGGGACGGACGAGGGGATGGGGGATGGTGGGGTGGACAAGGGGACAGGGGAGTGGGGGACGTTGGGAGGGGGGACGGTGAGAGGGGGGGGGGGATGGACGGGAGGACAGGGGACAGGGAAGGTTTGCTGTGGCTCAGCAATGCATGGCCGGGTACAGCTAGTGTGTGTGTGTGTGTGTGTGTGTGTGTATATATATATATATATATATATATATATATATATATATATATATATATATATATATATATATATATATATATATATATATATATATATATATAGCAAATGGCAAATGTAAATATCTCCTGGTCGTTTTAAATACTTAAGTTTTTAAAGTCCAATCGATACAACTAACTTAGACGGGAGCTAACAAAACACTAATTGAATATAATAAGATATAATTGTGTACGGCACAAAGCCACATGTTGAATACAAAGGAAGGTGTACACACATATAATAACAACGGAAGGTGTGCTGTGAAATATTAATACTTGAAAACTATAACGTATAAGCATAAGGATTTGTTCTCATGTTGGGCTTAAGGCCTATCAACCTCTGGAGGGTCATTAAGGTCACACAAGTGCTTACTGACCAGATCAACCAGTAAGTATACTATAGTCCCGTACATAGTCCAGGACCGAAGTAACTCGACGTATGTACACTGAGAAACAAAGTACACTAGCACTTAGTCTACATATGCATTTGGATAATAAATGACAAGACACAGGCGAAATTATCAACACATAATAAAAAAACGTCAAATGACCATGTAAATCGTGATAGAAAAATAAACAACTCAGACATATGTAAATGCTGTTTATCTCCAGTCTGCCACTTTAGCGTATATAACTTGCAAACTCTGGCCAGAAAGCTATTGTATCATAAGAATGTCTCACGTGAAAATCCGTAAGAGCCGTGATGAGGATTCGAACTAATGTGATGAGAATTCCCACGTACACACCCCAGACAACCAAGCCACGACTTGGTCAAAATGATAGCAACCTGGACTTCTACTGAACACACGAGGGTTTCCTGAGGCTTCCAATGAAGCCGGACCAGAATTTTCACACAATCTCCTGTTTTGCTCCTTATAAATCACAATTATAAGCAGCACCCAGAGTACGTGCTTAGTCTACGCTTATCCTTGCTAGTCTGTTGCAGGGCGTGGCAGAGTAAGGCATAAAATAACATAAGATTAATATCCTTTTATTAATAAAATAAGATCTAAATATTCTAGCAATCATAAACATAGATACACACCACACCAAACCTATACCTAGGGTTCGTCAACACTGGTGTTATCACCTGTCTGAACCACACCCTTCGGCAACACGTGGTCCACCCTAGACCACACCTAGTCTACCTTACACCACTCCCGGTTCACTTGGGACCACACCCGGTCCACCTTAGACCACATCAGGTCCACAATATACCACATCAGGTCCACACTGACACCTCCCTAACACAGGCCACACCCTGCACATAACTACACATTAATTGAACCAAGTCTCTGGTAGTCTAAGCCTCGGTGCCTATTGACATTACTACCAAAGTGCTCCCAATAGTAATTCACCACAGTTTCTAATAGCACCGTCCAGGGAACAACGTTTGCAATGTTGCACCAATACTTTGCAGTGAGTGAATTCACGTTATTGTTGTCATTATAGCAAGAAAATACAGTAAAGAGTCAACCTTTCCATCATTACCTAAATAATGACTGCAAGTATGGAATGACAGTTTCCGTGGGAGGAAGAAAGATGCAAGTGCGTATAATGTTTGGCTGAAATTATGGATGTTTATATTAGTTAAAACTGATTTGAAAGTGAGGGATATTGCCATGGCAACAAGACCTTGTGAAAGTTAGGAATATTACCATAGTAACAGAAACTTGTGAAAGTGGCACGGAGCCGTGATAATTATTGTGGTTAAATCTAAGTTTAACTTACCATTCTAATGTGCGTCTCAATAATTTAAAATTTACGAGCTAACAAACCCAGCAGGTGTGGTGGGTCAACAGGGCCCGGCCCAGAGGGAACTACTTAAAAAATTTGTCGTTTAAGGATATAATTAGTCCTCCTCCCCCCCTCACATTGGATAGAAAAAATATAAACACAGTTAAACTTTATTGAATCACAATTTCCCCTGTGACAAAACTCCTTGTACTGCCTGTTGACATTTACTATATGCATAGTATCCCCCTTCGACCGGAATATAGGCTCACAAAAAAGCACTCTAGGCAGGCCTAAACCGCTGAAGGAGGTACACTTCTAATGTCCCTTATCCCCCAGTACATAGAAATCCTCTTCAGCCTAACTCCCACAAGGCATAACAAACGTGGAGAAGGATTGAAGTTGCATATCAATAATACTTCAAATAAATGAGAAAGGTGGGCAGTACATAAAAGAGAAACAAAGACTTATTTGAGTTAAAATCCCATCAGTCAAGCAGCTACGTCCTTCTTTAACACAGGCCAGCAGGCAAATTGAATTAGTATTCTCACGCTACCTCAGAGGAGTGTGTGTGTACGGGCTCACCATAGCCCGTGCTACTTTGAACTTTTTGTTCCAGGTAGCGAATCTTAAACAACAACAACAACCTCAGAGGAGCCCAAATTATCATACTGTAACTGATCGTCTCTGACAATCATTTAACCACAACCAGTCTCTTACACTCTACTCACAACTATGATGCAACCTTATGCTCTGTATTAACTAATTTGCTCACTACCTTCGCTTAAGCATTGTAGATTCAACTGCTCCCAGACTTAACATGTACACTTTATCTGCTCGCAATATATCATGTTCCACTATCTAGGACCACCCTGGTCATAACAGAAAGTTAGGGTCATAGTAGCAAGAGATTGTGAAAGTTTTAAGAACTGGTTCGTTAGAACAAATTTTCTTAAGAGCTGGTTCGTTAGAGCGAATATCTCAAGAGGTTAGAGCAAAGATGTCTTAAGAACTTATTCGTTAGAGCGAATATCTCAAGAGGTTAGAGCAAAGATGTCTTAAGAACTTATTCGTTAGAGCGAAAATGCCTGAAGAACTGGGGCCAGATTCACGAAAGCACTTACGCAAGCACTTACGAACGTGTACATCTTTCGTCAATCTTTGACGGCTTTGATTACATTTATTAAACAGTTTACAAGCATGAAAACTTCCCATTCAACTGTTGTTATTGTTATAAACAGCCTCCTGGTGCTTCGGAGCTCATTAACTGTTTAATAAGTGGAAACAAAGCCGCCAAAGATTGAGAAAAGATGTACAGGTTCGTAAGTGCTTGCGTAAGTGCTTTCGTGAATCTGGCCCCTGGTTCGTTACAAAGGTTACAAAGTCTGAAGAACAAAGACATCTTTGTCATTGTGCTCATATGGTCCTGGTGGTATCTATGCAAAATCCGCTAATAATAATAATGGTTTAATAGTAATATGAAAAAGAACAAAATGCCAGTATTAATAATAATACAAATAATAATAGTGATTATTATTCCTCTGGCATGGTGGTTGCCACCAAAACATATCGACACTTCAACAATTTGATAATCTTATAAATAGTTTTATATAATTGTATAGAATCCCAGCACAGCTACAGGTAACTGTATAAACAAAGTTCAGTTCAAACTTGCACACTCCAAAATAACTTTACAAGCTATGTGTACAAAAATTATATATATATTTGTTAATATTTATTTATAATAATATAATACTTATTATTATTATTTTAATAAATATATGTATTGTAATTAGAGATCAAATTTGTAATATATATTGTTTATGATTAAATTTGTAACATGTATATTTTTATTATTATAACGCGCGTGTGTGTGTGTGTGTGTGTGTGTGTGTGTGTGTGTGTGTGTGTGTGTGTGTGTGTGTGTGTGTGTGTGTGTGTGTGTGGTGGTTGTTAGTGGTATTAGGTGATTAGCAGTAGAGTTGATAGGCTAATATGCAGGAGTAATTTGTTGTGGTGAGCGAGGATATCTTGGTTAACCTTTGCTACGCCTGAGAGACTGGAGATAAAACTGGCCAGATCTTGGTGAGGGTTGTGGCAAGAGGAAGCACTGGCCGTGTCCAGTGTTAAGTCACTCGTTCACAGCTGGCCATGTGCTTATATGTTTGATTGTGCCAAATTGCACTCTATTATTACGTCAAATTGCAATTACGTCAACTATCACTCTGCTCCTTGTTTCGGTATTGACAGTGAAACACGTGACAGACATTGATGCTGCGGCCAATACCAGCTTTTTCGGCCGCTGTGTCCATCTATCTGCTTCTACCCCCCGTCCCCTCCCCCCCCCCCCCCCCTGTCACCGCCGCCTGGCCAACCCCTCGGACTCCACCTATTCCTCCACGTCCTGCCCTCTCCTCCCGCCCGCCCCCACCCACCCACCCGCCCGCCTGTTACCTGCCCTCTTGACGCATATATGGTCCGGTTCCCCTCGCCGCTTATATATATAATAGCGAGCGTGTCAGCCATGCCTGGCCATCAGTACCACGCTGGGGACGCTGCCGGGACCCGCTCGCCCAGGTAAGCCTTCACCACCTCAAAGACCTGATTACTTTCGATAATTAACAACTATAGTAATGGCGATTTGAGACCACATAATTTGATACGTATTGACGTTTTCAATGATGAGGCAGCTATACGTAAACGTCGCTGACTCCTTAGGTCAGTACTGAGCACCTGCCATGAGCAGCTGACCACCGCACCTAGGTGTCTACCCTTTCCTTCAGGCCAGGATTGAATGGGTACCATCGATATCTGAGTAGCAACGACGCTACTGCTGCAGCACTGTTAGTTTGCCGAGAGTATACAACTTGGTTACCAGCTCCGTTCACATGTTGAGGCGTGAAGATCCTTACCGACGAGCCGTGAAGCCCGTCTGGAAGTGGAGTTTTCATTGTTGGTCTTGATTCTATTCTTAATTCCATCCTTAGTGAAGACAGGTGCGTAAGTTGTATGCACCAACATAAGTTGGTGTATGTAAGTTGGGTTGTATGTCTTCGTCGGACACTGACGATGATCGCGTGTAGTTGTACTTCAGGAAGCTGGCAAACCTTCTTCCTATACCAGTTAGTTGTCTTGAGCGTCTCTCTCAAGTGGGATAATCAATGTCTTAAGTGCTTGGCAAGATGTTACTGCTTGCTTCATATCCTGGTGTGGTCAAAGTGTGTTCACGAATGCACTCAAGTGCATGATATTACATATAATCAACAAATGATAATAAGGGAGTTGTTACATGATAGCAAAAGATCGGCCTTCAAGACATTTCCTTCGTGAGAGACACATTTTTGTTGCCCTTACCTTGAGGTTACCTTGAGGTGCTTCCGGGGCTTAGCGTCCCCGCGGCCCGGTCGTCGACCAGGCCTCCTGGTTGCCGGACTGATCAACCAGGCTGTTGGACGCGGCTGCTCGCAGCCTGACGTATGAGTCACAGCCTGGTTGATCAGGTAAATCAGCCTAGATCAGGTTGATCAGCCCTTCCCTTCAATAATTACAAAACTCACTTGTCACATTAAAAACAATTAAAATGTCTTAGGTAAAGAGGTGTTGTGGTCCCCGAGCACCGCCTCGGCCTCCCCGTACACACTGATGGTTCCCTGCACCAGCCACGGCTCCTGTTGGGAGTGTATAGCTGTTGTGGCAGGGAGCGCCACTCATCTTCAACACAGCTCTCTCTAACTATCTGGGCTTCCACTCGTTATACCAAGATATCCACTATACTTCCTCTCAAACACGTACACATGCCTTACAAATTGACACATTAATTTTAAGATACTCTCTCATCCCTGTCTGCACTCAACTCATTAAGACGTAACTGTCTACCTTGGATACTTGTGTTTGAAGCTAAGCACAGATACAGTATACTCGTATCATCTGAAGCTAGCCATAGCTACAATATACTGTACTTGTGTCTCAAGTCAGGCACAGATTCAATATACTTGTGTCTGAAGCTAGGCTCAGATACAATAATTTAAGAAACTAGGTCTGTTTCGTATGCATCTCCTAATGCATGATAAAAGCGATGATTTAACCTAAGCATATGTTCCAATCATACTTCAATTGTCTCTGTTATTGTTTTCATTGCTATGCTTAACTGAAGAAAAATAATGTAGATCAATGTCTGTCAGATATTCTCAAAACTCGATAACTTACAAATAAATGGAATGTATGTATTGATAAAAGTAAAATCATTACATTAATTGCTGATCAAATGTTGCTGTTGGATGCAATATTGGTGGTTTAACAGTTACTTGTTCAAATAATTAATAGAAAATATTTTAAACTATTAAATATTTAATATGACAACCTACCAAAAACAGGCATATAAAATCACATTTTCGCAAAACAACAGTAAGTGGTACATAAGGAACTGCAGGTATAGATTAATATTGATCTCACCGGTTAATAAGCAAATTCATAATTACTTTGTATTTATGATAATTTTTCAGCTAACATCATAATCCACCATGTGTGACGACGACGCGACCGCGCTGGTCTGCGACAATGGTTCCGGCCTCTGCAAGGCTGGCTTCGCTGGTGACGACGCTCCCCGCGCCGTCTTCCCCTCCATCGTCGGCCGTCCTCGTCACCAGGGTGTGATGGTCGGTATGGGTCAGAAGGACGCCTACGTCGGTGATGAGGCCCAGAGCAAGAGAGGTATCCTGACTCTCAAGTACCCCATCGAACACGGCATCATCACCAATTGGGACGACATGGAGAAGATCTGGCATCACACCTTTTACAACGAGCTTCGAATTGCCCCCGAAGAGTCCCCAGTCCTCCTGACGGAGGCTCCCCTCAACCCCAAGGCCAACCGTGAGAAGATGACACAGATCATGTTCGAGACCTTCAGTACTCCTGCCATGTACGTGGCCATCCAGGCCGTGCTGTCCCTATACGCCTCTGGTCGTACCACAGGTATCGTACTGGACTCTGGTGATGGTGTTACTCACACTGTCCCCATCTACGAGGGTTATGCTCTGCCCCACGCTATTATGCGTCTCGACTTGGCTGGCCGGGACTTGACCGACTACTTGATGAAGATCATGACTGAACGAGGCTATTCCTTCACCACCACGGCTGAGCGTGAGATTGTCCGCGATATAAAAGAAAAACTTTGCTATGTTGCCCTTGATTTTGAGAATGAAATGGCTCAAGCAGCAGCCACCACCTCCCTTGAAAAGTCGTATGAGCTTCCTGACGGTCAGGTCATCACCATCGGCAACGAGCGTTTCCGTTGTCCCGAAGCTCTCTTCCAGCCTTCCTTCCTGGGTATGGAATCGTCTGGAGTTCATGAAACTGTTTACCAATCTATCATGAAGTGTGATGTGGATATCAGGAAGGATCTGTACGCGAACAACGTCATGTCTGGTGGTACCACCATGTACCCTGGTATTGCTGACCGCATGCAGAAGGAAATCACCAACTTGGCTCCCTCCACCATCAAGATCAAGATCATTGCTCCTCCCGAGCGTAAGTACTCCGTCTGGATCGGTGGCTCCATCCTGGCCTCTCTCTCCACCTTCCAGTCCATGTGGATCACCAAGGAGGAGTACGAAGAGTCCGGACCCGGCATCGTCCACCGCAAATGTTTCTAATTGGTCTGTTCAAAAACAAAATTATAATTTTTCAACGATTGTGACTGATATATTAAATTTTATGAGCTTTGATTCCTCTTTTATCCTTTATTTTCCTCTCTTGTGGTACTGAAACTGCCCCTTGCAGATGGCAACCGAAGCATAAAGATTAAATTCTTTCTCTGTGCTTTTAGGATTTATATCTGGCTGCTTCTTGCAGACGAGTGTTAATACTTCACCGATTCCTTTGTAAGCTATAAGGTATATTCCTTCGTAAGCTATATATATCTTCATTAGGGATTGCAGGAAACGAGCAACAAATATCATTGAGAGTAAGACCAACAAGAAGGAACAGGAACAAAAGTTCATGCTCACGGCAGGATAGACCACAAACAAACATAACTAACACCTGCAATAAAGCCAATATAAGGGCTAGTGTAGAGAACATCGTCGACGGTGAGTCCACTCCTGAGGAGCAGGACTTAACAGCGTCACCGTGACAATTGTGATACAGTGTATGTAGTGAAACATTGTCAAACTTAATACGCGAGAGTTTGCAGGTAATGAGTCACAATAACGTAGCTGAAGTATGTTGACCAATCCACACATTAGAAAGTGAAGCGACGACGACGTTTCGGTCCGTCCTGGACCATTCACAATCGACCTGAGAATGGTCCAGGACGGACCGAAACGTCGTCGTCCCTTCACTAGTGTGTGGATTGGTCAAGGCGAGAGTTTGTGAAGATAGGTAAGTATGGCTGCCGTGTTGCTAACCCCAACAACACTTGTGTCCCACACAGGAGCACCTAGGAGACCCGGGAACTTCACTCACGCTAAACTCAACATCAGCGAATCAAACAACGTTAGGAGACAGTGTGTGGAGTCTGTAGTCATCATACACTACAACACCAGTCAACTTAATGATAGAAAATCAACATTACTACTTATCTTGGTATAGTAATGCTTCATAATTATAAATTGTTATACACAGTCTCTCTGACCGTCACCTCACAACCTCACCCGCCTCGCCCTCTATAAGCACTACCTCTGTGTATCTCATACTGGTGCTTCTCTACATGGAAGCGCTATTAATTAAAACCTTAATATTATCCTTTAACATTATTGTACCCTTATGAGGCCCCACTTGGATTATACAATGTAATTTTGGGCACCGAATGTATATTAATAGCGGATAGTATATTGAGAAGGATGTCTTAGATAATTCTATAAATTATGAAGCGAGACATCTCTAAAGTGGTACACTCTAGGAAGGCATAGAGTAAGAGGAACATCACTAACGTGTTCAATATAATGAAAAGTTCATTTATATCACTCCAAAGGCGATATACATAATGTGCTGATATCTCCCAAGTTAGGACACCAGATAATGGATTCATTTTCCATTTGAAATTTATTTGGAGAAAATGGAGTTTAGATTTAGAAAATAAATAGGCAAACACTGGTTCACAAATATGGGTGCAGATTATTGGAATTAGTTACCATGTAACGTCACAGAAACAAACCTCAATGGAAAGTTTCAAGAATTGGTTAAACAAGAATGTTAGAAAGAGTCCAGAAGTTGGGTAGAAATACAGGCTGCCTCACATAGGCCAACTGTATATTACTTTTTTATGATGTTCCTTTGAGAATACAAATAGCATTCTTGACTTTAATATTTTGGTGAGTGACACTATGCAAAAGCAAATCTAGATTCTAAAAAGCTTTAACCACGTTTAAGGAGTGTGTTGTTGAAGACTGAGCCATCACAAGAGGTGGCACGGGCATGAATAGCCCGTAAGTAGTAGATGTTTAGAGTGAATGTGATCTTTGATCGTGTATTAAGTGAGTGATGAAGATTAAGCCACCCAAAGCGATGGTATGGGCTTGAGTAGCAGGTAACTGGTAGAATTTTTTTGGAGTGAATGTGATCTATTAAGGAGTGCTTGAAGTTGTTTTGGATTCAGCAACGGGAACAAAATTTCCGTGTAACACGGGCTATGGTGAGCCCGTAATGGGTAAAGGAATGCTGTTGTTGTTTTAGATTCAGCTACTCGGAACAAAAAGTTCCAAGTAGCATTGGCTATGGTGAGCCCGTAGTGGACTTACCTGGCACAGGAGCGGGGCTGTGTGTTAAGGAGTGCACTCAAGAGGCTTGAAATACTAATCTACGCGTACAGGCGTGGTCTCCACCTCACTAAGATGCACGAATATAGAGAAAAGGAGGCTGGAGGGAGAAGGCACATCTCCTGTGCCAGGTAAGTACTACGGGCTCACCATAGCCCGTGCTGCTTGGAACTTTTTGTTCCCAGTAGCTGAATCTAAAACAACTGGGTGGAGCAGGGGGTAATATTGGGAAGGGGGATAAGAGGGGGAGATACATTTGTGAGAGTGTAAATAGGGGTAGGGAATGAGGGTAAGATTATATGATGTTGCTATATAAGGAGTGGCTACACAGATGACCTTGGACACGAGAGGGTAAGGGATCACTTGAGCGTGCGACGGAGGACATGTGATCCAGCGCTGCTCGTCTCCCTGAACTATATGTTTAACTGATCTCTAACCCTGTCCATGGAGGACAGAAGAAAATGTATATATGCTGGTTAGCATTGTAAATGTGTGGCCACGTCTGTGGTAGAAAATAATAATAATAATAATAAAACAGCTCGTCTCACCGCCATCACGTGGTCAGGAAAGTGGCCGGAAAATTCTCCTCTACCTTATAAACAACTAAATGATGTGTCGTTAGTGTTGGAACGCGTGGGTATGTTTATCATCTTGTGTTGGTGGTGGGAACACCTCTTAAACCCTCATGGGTTGGTGGTGGGAACACCTCTTAAACCCTCATGGGTTGGTGGTGGGAACACCTCTTAAACCCTCATGGGTTGGTGGTGGGAACACCTCTTAAACCCTCATGGGTTGGTGGTGGGAACACCTCTTAAACCCTCATGGGTTGGTGGTGGGAACACCTCTTAAACCCTCATGGGTTGGTGGTGGGAACACCTCTTAAACCCTCATGGGTTGGTGGTGGGAACACCTCTTAAACCCTCATGGGTTGGTGGTGGTCATAGGCATATGTCTTCCCTTTATTTTGTGCTGCTATTGTGGTCTTTCACTCCTCTTTCTCCCCTCATAACTTTTCATTTTTCTTAGTTAAAGTTGATGGTGACTAGTTATCCGTCTCTCTTACCTGGCACTGTAATGTTGTGAAACTAATAAGTCTGTGTCAAGTTGGATTTTTCTTCGCTAAATCAATGTTTCGGTTTGGGGACAAAATTTGTTCTGAATGTTCCACGAGCTTCCTTCATATCATTGTATGGATCTTGAAGAGGAGGATGCTTGTTAATGGTATACTGGTCTGTTCTTCAGGGGTTCTCGACTCACTTCTTTCTTGTATATTGGTACATTAGCTGTTTTCCAAGTATGGAAGCTCACCCCATTTCAATGAGAGGTTGAATAATATAACCTTGCGTCTGACGTCTACTCAACACCTCGCCTGCTAATGTTTAGCATCCACGGTGAGATTGTGTCTCTGCCTGTCTCTTGATCATCCTGTGTTGTGTGTATCGTGGGTGTATCTGCTTATCTTTTTACGTTGTATTAGCCGCAGGAGTATCTATTAATCGCCCTGTGTTGGGGTATTACTGACAGTGAGAGAGTGTGGCTATTATCACTGTGTTGTGTTAAGGCCTATCAACCTCTGGAGGGTTATGAAGGCTACCATAATAACTTACTGACCAACCCGTAAATATACTTTGGTCCTAAACATAGTCCAGGACTAAAGTAAACTGCCAGTGTGTTTACACAGAGAAAACCTTTGTGCAGGTATTCCTTCGCAGGTGTTGGTGGCACTGCCAGCTGAAGACCGGTTGTAACTGATGCCTTCAAGATTTCTATCCATTTAACAATCTCGGTCATTAAGCTTCATCTTTAATATACCGAAAAAAATCAGCTTATAATCATCAGTTAGTAAACTTAAGAGCGATTTATTGGGTAAAAAGTAATGCGTAAGATGTTAGAGAGAAACATGTGGAGAGTGTCTGTGAGAGGAGACTTGGAGGAGGAGGAGGAGGAGCAGGGGCAGGTAACACGAGGCTGCGGTAGTCGCTATAAATAAATGGAAGTAGACACATGACATTAGTTGGTTATCTGACTTGTGTGTTGTGTGGAAGCTTGGGGGGGGGGTAGGGAGTAGGGGGGGGGGAGCGAGAAGTTATGCAGTGTCTCTTGTTGGCCATAATAATAACTATTATATATATTTACTGTATATGAAAATTTTGTTCGAACCTTTTGGGATGAAAAACACCTCAAAATGTTTTTTTCAGTTTAAGATAGAATAAACATTTGCTAAGAAGGTAGAAACTATTTTGAGCACTAATTTCACCAGTCCTTTCATACATCCTCATTAGGTCAGTGATTTCTGTACTTCAGATCTCCTCGGCAGCCTGAGATAGAGGATGCTGGTTAGCATTGTAAATGTGTGGCCACGTCTGTGGTAGAAAATAATAATAATAATAATAATAATAATCCAAGAGGAGCACCCAGGAGAGTGCAGGCTTCAAGATTAATTATGTAAATATCTAGCAGATATATTTTACTCGATCAATAATATGTAAGTTAGAGGAGACTTTTTCACACTTGATGAGAGGAGACCTACATTGACTCCTTGGAATTTGCCAATGTCCGGCAGGAGAGAATCTTAAGGTACCGACGAGAGCCACTCTCCAAGGACCAGATATTGTGCTCAGCAACTTTCAGTAAAGCACCGTTGGTGTAGAACTGTCATTATATTCCATGTTGCGGTAGTGAAAAATTACATTAACATGCAACTTTCTCAAGGCTGGGACACTATCACAGAAATTCTTATATGGCAAAATAGCTTTTCTATATGATATTATAACATAAATGTTTATAGTATCGCTGAATTAAGCTACTCCTGTCATGCTGCAGCTTGGATCATCTGGGTGATATAGTCTTCAAATTGTTGTGGTGAGGCTCTGGATACACAATTAATATTCTCTTTAAATCACTGAAATAAACGAAGGTTTCTCACTAATATGATGCTGGGATGAGTGTCTACACGGGAGGTGTGGAGGAGGGAGAAGGTACGGGGGAAGAGGGAAGGAGCCACCAGCACATGCTCATGTCACCTGGCTCTTCTCTGTAGCGGTTCCATCCTCTTAAAATACTGCTCTCCGCGTGTGACTCTTATACTTCACTAACAAGGTAGGTTCGTGAAGCCTGGTCACCTGTGGGATACTATATAGTTATCAACGGAACGGCCTGCTTCACTAACCCTCACCTAGAGAATAGCCCCAAACAGTTTCCATGGCCTTCTACTCCCAGAAGTACACCTTCAATCGTCGTCTTGACTGGGGTACAGTATAGCACAACGAGTTAAACCCGGGAAACACTCAGTTCCAGAACCGCATCTTTAGTATATGAGCCAACGGTCCTGATGTACTCATGATAGACACGTGTACACAGGCATGTGGTCAGGGGGTTGACACATGTGACACCGCTGAGATACGGACGGTAGCGGGGACGGTGGTTTAGGCAGCAGCACTGTTGTGGTGGGTGTGAGGGTAGTCGGTGGTGGCTGGTGGCAGGATCTTAGTGGCACACCCTATGTTATCCTCGATTCCTACTGCCACACTCTGTGTTCCCTGCCCCCCAACGGTCGCATCTTCTCTCTGGGCCCCTACTGCCACACCCTGTGTTCCCTTGACCCTCCAACTGCCACACCGTCTCCTCCCTGGACCCCCAACTGCTACACCCTGTGTTTTCTGGACCCCCACTGCCACACCCTGTCTTTCCTGGACCCCTTCACTGTCTCACCTCTATACTTCCTGGACCTCCCACTGCCACACCTTGTCTCTCCTCGACTTCCACCGCCACACCCTGTATGCATCGAAAACTTTATCTGGTTCTGCTATCAGCATATGCTATATTAACTAGTCGGTGAAGTGAGCGGGCGCAGCAGGCAATTACCAGGTGACATTGCGCCTTCGAGTCGCCCGGACCATCAAATAAATGACTCAATGTATCCTTACGTGGTGGCGACTGAAAATACATCGATTTGGCCTGGCAAGCGTTCGTTGCTGGACCAAGAGTTTAGTAATGACACGCCTCGTTCAGCACCCAGAGAGCCTACTTGAGATGTCCCTCAGTGAGCATTACCCCTCGAGCCACTAATCAGTTCCCCCTCGGCCGACCCCACTTCACCCATCTGCCCTGCACGTACGGGGGGTTTAGTGTATATATAGATCCTCTCAATCATTGGTACTGGTGAGGGCACACTTCACTCCACCAGTCTCGCACGGAAGATCCCGACGGCAGCTCGTCCAGGTAACGCCTCCTAACCCAATCCCCTTTTGGCCGCGATACTCGTGCAGGCTCTGACACCCAACCATACGTGTGTGCATGGCCTAGTGGATCCCTCTGATACACTTCTGTTGTATGCAAGATGAAAGAGCGTCCGGTGTTTGTGATGTATTGTTTGGAAAATGTGTGGAATGTATTTCCATTATTGTTGAACCTATAGTGGGCCTTAGACATGATAATAAAGCCCGTTATACCCACAGAACACGTGAGGTGTTTCTCCAGTGTGTATGACTAGCTGTCACTCACACTTACAGAACTTAGAAAATCTATAAACATTCTGTTTTGTAAGGACAGAGAGATCAAAGATGAAAGAGCACTATGTTAAACTGCGCTTGTTCCAGTTATCGCAACAAACCAGGCCATGGCAACAGGGACCTCGCAACAAACCAGACCATAGTAACAGGGACCTCGCAACAAACCAGACCATAGCAACAGGGACCTCGCAACAAACCAGACCATAGTAACAGGGACCTCGCAACAAACCAGACCATAGTAACAGGGACCTCGCAACAAACCAGACCATAGTAACAGGGACGTCGCAACAAACCAGACTATAGCAGCAGTAGTCCTCCACAGTTCCGTATAGAGTATTAATTAATGTACACTTATTTTACCTGGTTACACGTTTCCGAGTACCAATACTGTGGCAGAAGTATATCTTGAACACGACCCGCTCGGAAACATGGCTCGGGAGCAGCTGTAGTGTTGAGTGCCCATGGCTCAACTTCGCCTCTACATTTTCCATACAAAAAGTGAAACATTTCATCCTTCGCTTTTTTACGATACACTTGACTTATGATACCAGCCCAACAGTGATACACTTGAAAGGTTTACATCATCCCATGACGCACTTGACAGGTTGACATCAAGCCCATGATACATTTGACAAGTTGATGCCAAGAGAATATCGCCTAGATATGTTTTCGTTATACTCCCATACTCCGCACATGAAGGCTTTTCTCATCGTGTACTCTAACTTAAGTAAATTAGTCTTAATAATTATTTAAGATTCTGTTACTAAATTAATATAAAATTTACTTTTTGCAGGATCCTTCTGATATACCAGTACTACCACTATGTGTGACGACGACGCGACCGCGCTGGTCTGCGACAATGGGTCTGGCCTCTGCAAGGCTGGCTTTGCCGGTGACGACGCTCCCCGCGCCGTCTTCCCCTCCATCGTCGGCCGTCCTCGTCACCAGGGTGTGATGGTCGGTATGGGTCAGAAGGACGCCTACGTCGGTGATGAGGCCCAGAGCAAGAGAGGTATCCTGACTCTCAAGTACCCCATCGAGCACGGCATCATCACCAACTGGGACGACATGGAGAAGATCTGGCATCACACCTTCTACAACGAGCTGCGTGTTGCCCCTGAGGAGTCCCCAGTCCTCCTGACGGAGGCTCCCCTCAACCCCAAGGCCAACCGTGAGAAGATGACACAGATCATGTTCGAGACGTTCAGTACTCCTGCCATGTACGTGGCCATCCAGGCCGTACTGTCCCTGTACGCCTCTGGTCGTACCACAGGTATCGTGCTGGACTCCGGTGATGGTGTTACTCACACTGTCCCCATCTACGAGGGTTATGCTCTTCCTCACGCTATTATGCGTCTCGACTTGGCTGGACGTGATCTTACCGATTACCTTATGAGGATTCTCACAGAGCGAGGCTATTCCTTCACCACTACTGCCGAACGTGAAATTGTCCGCGATATCAAAGAGAAGCTTTGTTATGTTGCTTTAGATTTTGAAGGAGAAATGGCACAGGCTGCTGCTTCTACCGCCATCGAAAAGTCATATGAACTTCCTGATGGACAAGTTATTACTATCGGCAATGAACGATTCCGTTGTCCTGAGGCTCTCTTTCAGCCTTCTTTCCTTGGAATGGAATCTAGCGGTGTCCATGAAACAGTATATCAGTCTATCATGAAGTGTGACGTTGATATCAGGAAGGATCTGTACGCTAACACTGTCATGTCTGGTGGTACCACCATGTACCCTGGTATTGCTGACCGCATGCAGAAGGAAATTACTACACTGGCTCCCTCCACTATCAAGATCAAGATCATTGCTCCTCCCGAGCGTAAGTACTCCGTCTGGATCGGTGGCTCCATCCTGGCCTCTCTCTCCACCTTCCAGTCCATGTGGATCACCAAGGAGGAGTACGACGAATCCGGCCCAGGCATCGTCCACCGCAAGTGCTTCTAAGCCGTGCGTTGTTATCCTTCAGCATATTCATTTAATAACGTGTTACTGGAGACAACTTACACTCTTAATATTCTGTTGCCTCAGCTAAAAGCAGTGTTTAGCCCACATTGGGTAATGTGACACCTTCCTCTTGTCATTAAAATTATTTTGCTATTATATGCACAATGGATTTATTCTTGAAATAAAACAGTATCTTCCTTAGCTTGTCAATGTTTTGTTTTTTCCCGAAGGTAATTTTATGTTGTATTTATCTGCGACGCTGTGGCTGTAGAGCGAGACACGACAACTGGTCCCAGTTCAAACTGCTGCAGTCATAATCTTGGTATGTCTGGTAAAGTGTCTTCCTGTGTTTACCGTACGAATATGTTGTCATTTCGTGTGTCTGTTTACTCTCTTACAATTTAATCCAACGTCTTCAAAGTGCTCTGTCTCTGGTTCCAGCAAGAGCACTTATTGTAATTAATAACTCCTTTGTCGGGGACAGGAAACTTGTGTATGTGTATATATATAATTTTGACTTGTATTGAGGTTCGCCCTAGATGGAACTACTGACTTTCACCAGGATGCAAACCCACAGTAGTTGTATAAACCAGGTTACATATTTACTGCTAGGTGAACAGAGGCCTTGTGAAAGGAAACGTGCCCAACCTTTTCTGTCCCGCCCGGGAATCAAACCCGAGATCCCCGATTGTGAGTCGAAGACGAAGCCAATTGTACTACCAGACCAACATGAGCCATTCTTGCTCGCACATTTTAAATATGGCGTCACCGACTCTTTATTTCATAGTTTTTTCACTATTTATGGTTTATGTGATGCTTCATGCTTTTGTTTACATCCAATGGTTCACATGGTCCATTGTCATACCTTCAGTTAACGTATCTAATACGTTTGAAGAGCATTTGAAGAGCATTTGAAGAGCTCTGAAGCAGAGGAGGCTGGTGTATACACACCACAAACTCCCACGCAGACCTAAGCAACAATTCCTTGCCTATAGGAAATAAGACAGAAGCTCGAAGTAAATAAATATGGCTGACTAAAAAAAATCCAAAATCGGTCTGAAAAATTTATATTTTGTAATTTCAGTTTTGGTCGTGATGGCGTTACATGGCCCTAAAGTCATATAATGAACTGTAGGCATCCGTCAGTTTCAAGAGAGTATGGAGTTGCGCTCTGGTTGTCGGTCTATTATTATACTCTATGTATAATAACAAGATTTTTCTTTGTATTGCACAAAGAAATAGACAGAAAATTCATCATACTGTGGAAATTACAATCCTAATTCTCATACATTTATATAGCGAAAAATGCAGATTAATATTAGTCTCATTGACTCTCAAGTGATCCCCGTATATGTTAATTGATGGAGCCGCACTTAAAGGGTTAAGAGTTGGATGCATCACACAAAATATATTTTGCATTTATATCATGTCTGAAGAGTAAATGTTAAAAGGGTTACTAAAACAAATCATCTTCCTTTTTCAAACTGTTTTGTGGGTTCTTTTATAGCTAGTGAAATAAAAGAAAATTAAATAATTCACAGAGATAAACTGTAGAACAAAAGAAATAAGCTCAATAAAAAAATAACAAAGGCTGACAGAACTTAATACAATGTACATGGCATCCTTAAATAAATGAGCAAATAATGAGCTCATTTAATACATTTAGAAGCACTTGCGGTGGACGATGCCAGGGCCAGACTCATCATATTCTTCTTTAGTCACCCACATGGCCTGGAAGGTGGAGAGAGAGGCCAGGATGGAGCCACCGATCCAGACGGAGTACTTACGCTCGGGAGGAGCAATGATCTTGATCTTGATGGTGGAGGGAGCCAAGTTGGTGATTTCCTTCTGCATGCGGTCAGCAATACCAGGGTACATGGTGGTACCACCAGACATGACAGTGTTGGCAAATAGGTCCTTTCTAATGTCAATGTCGCACCTCATGATTGAACAGTGGACGGTCTCGTGAACACCAACAGATTCCATACCCAGGAAGGAAGGCTGGAAAAGAGCTTCAGGAGCACGGAAACGCTCGTTGCCGATGGTGATGACCTGACCGTCCGGAAGCTCGTAGGACTTGTCCAGGGAAGTAGATGCAGCTGCCTGTGCCATTTCATTCTCAAAGTCTAGAGCCACATAACACAACTTTTCTTTAATGTCTCGAACTATCTCACGCTCGGCTGTGGTAGTAAAAGAATACCCACGTTCAGTCAAAATCTTCATCAAGTAGTCAGTTAAGTCTCGTCCAGCCAAGTCGAGACGCATAATGGCGTGGGGAAGAGCATAACCCTCGTAGATGGGGACAGTGTGGGACACTCCATCACCGGAGTCCAGCACGATACCTGTAGTACGACCAGAGGCGTACAGGGACAGTACGGCCTGGATGGCCACGTACATGGCGGGACAGCTGAAGGTCTCGAACATGATCTGTGTCATCTTCTCACGGTTGGCCTTGGGGTTGAGGGGAGCCTCCGTCAGTAGTGTTGGGGACTCCTCAGGGGCAACACGAAGCTCGTTGTAGAAAGTGTGATGCCAGATCTTCTCCATGTCGTCCCAGTTGGTGATGATGCCGTGCTCGATGGGGTACTTGAGAGTCAGGATACCTCTCTTGCTCTGGGCCTCATCACCGACGTAGGCGTCCTTCTGACCCATACCGACCATCACACCCTGGTGACGAGGACGGCCGACGATGGAGGGAAAGACGGCGCGGGGAGCGTCGTCACCAGCGAAGCCGGCCTTGCAGAGTCCAGACCCATTGTCGCAGACCAGCGCGGTCGCGTCGTCGTCACACATTTTGTTCCTTTTATGATGGTTTCACCTAAAGATAAAAAAATCATCAATATCTTATCACGGATGTCTTTAGATAATAAAATATTGTGTGTAAGTTTTGTGTTAAGTTGCAAAAATTCCTTGTCACTTGTGATAATCGAAGTATATAATATTCTGAGCATTTGTAGGTGTAATAGTCTGTTATGAATATGTATCGCAGTCAACTCTCAATTCGCAGTCAATTGACGAATCCAGCCTTCTTGTTAACTAAGGCTTTTGCTTGTAGCCTGGCGATTGTTGTCAATTCGTCCGTGCCACACGTTATGAATTACAGATAGCATATTGAGAGGAGTTAGGCATGGTAGTGAAAGCGATGAAGGCTAGCACCGAAAAGACTGAGAAGTTGTGCTGCTAGGTAGCCTTAAGAAGGGTGAGAGGTGGCACTAACAGGGATGCTACTGAACTGGGTAAAAAGTGGCAGGGAGACCAATAAAGAACAAAGACAATGTCGTGTTCCATTCTTGGGCTCTGCTTTAAAGTGTTTCACTCACTAAGAGCTAACATCAGCAGTGGAATGTTGTAGGAAGCAGAAAATAATCTTGACCATTTAAAAGCTTTATTTCAACGTTTCGAAGTAACTAACGTCGTCGTCAACAACTAATATACATAGAAATTACAATTAAACGTTTAAAATTGATTAAAAGATAGTTTACCTTTAATCAAAATATACAAAGTCAATCGTTAATAACAAAGTCAATCGTGTCGGACAAAGCTGTCGCTTAAAACTGCCATAAACTCTTCCCTATAAAATAATCTCTACTTTAATTTACAAATTGTTTCATTATAATTAATATGCTATGTCTTGTATGACCCATAAAGATGCTTTTGCAAATATCTTCCATGATATGATACATAACGAGACTCGTGCTTTAAATGACTAACATTATGGCGCCATCTGTTGCGTGTGTGTGTCAAACTTATCTCCTGGGCAGCTGCCAGAGGTCACTTGAACATCATCAATATTCCTAGGATGTCTATTTATATTAGAAACTCAAGTATTCCTCTCCTGTATTGTTGTTTAATTTTATAACTATCCAAATGTAGGAGGACTCCTGGTTCAACCTTAACGACCTCCGGGCGCCTGCTCCGCCTGAAAGCCTTACAAATGTCGCGATGTTGCCCTCTGAGGTCTTGATACGGTCATCATACTTTCCTTCTCCTCGGCGGTTCGCGTTGTTACGACGTCTGGCGCACTTATCGCCTGGAATCACAGGCGAGTTGACGGTTTTTATTTATTTTTTAATTTTGTCCCGGAGGGCTGGTTTATTGGGAAGCGTCATTCATTTCGTGAGAGAAAATACCGCCAAGTTTGATAGATTTTTCCGTTTTATAGCTGGTTTTTCAAGTGGAGAGACGGTGTCCGACGCCGGCTTGAGCGAGAGGTGCTGGGGGCGGCAGCTCCTGCTCTGCCCGTCACCGCAAGTCTTTTTTGCATTTTTGCTCACTTAGGTACGAGGTTAGGAGGGCCGTGTTGTTACCTTGGTTTTGCTTGGCTACCAAGTGTTCTTTGTGTCGGGCGGGGGCCGGTGCTTGCCTCCCTGAGGAACTCCTAGGCTGCGCTATCATTGTGAATGAATGTTTAAGCTGCGTTTGGGTATTAGCGTGTTCGTTCGCCACAGGACGCGTTCGTTTCCGCCGACAGTCGACGTTAATTTATCTGTAAGGCTTTGCGTTTTTCCCTTTTAATGGAACGCCGAAGATGCACATACTGCATCACTGTTCTCCCGGCCCATAAATCAACGCCATATCAGTCCAAACGTTAAACTCCTATCAAACGTGAATGAAAATTAATCCAAAGCAATTATGAAGAACTTGTGTTGTTAGTGCGAGCGGATTCTTTGGTGAAAAGGTTGCAGTACTGAGTGCATCACAAGAGCCCAGAGAGCAAAACCCTGCTGTGGGAACGACAGCCAAGAAAAACTTTGAATCAACGTTACACTTGGGTATTTGTGCCCATTGGGAAAATGCTGGAGTAACTTGTAATAACCATTGATTCATTGTTACATCAGCGTCATTTTCCCAGATTATTTTGGACATGGTAGAGATGTCTAGAAATTAAAATTGGACATCTGCAGCAGCCTTTCATAATTAATTTTGTCGGGGACAGGCAGCCTGCGTATACGTATCCGTTAGGCTTATATCTAGGTTCCCATATGGTCAGACTACCAACCCTCCCCAGAATGCAACCACACAATACGCTGACTAACTCCGGGGTACCTATCCCTTTGTGTGAATTTATACCTCGATAAACTTATTTCAGTTTAATTACTGCTAGGTCAAGAGAGCCATTACTTGATGGGAAACGTGCCCACCAATTTGTCCCGCCGGGATTCGAACCCGGGATTCCAGATTGTGTCGAGAATGGACCCAACTGTTAAGAGTTAGAACAATTTCTTAACATTAAAATACATAAATATAAAAGATGTTTGTGTACGCTATAATTAAGAGTGTGAAGTTTTCGCGGATGAATATGGAAAATTAGTAAGAATGAATGTGAAACTTAGTTGTCTTGAGGTTATCTTGAGATAATTTCGGGGCTTTTTTTAGTGTCCCCGCGGCCCGGTCCTCGACCAGGCCTCCACCCCCAGGAAGCAGCCCGTGACAGCTGACTAACACCCAGGTACCTATTTTACTGCTAGGTAACAGGGGCATCAGGGGGTTGACGTTGGCAATGTGCTTTTAACAAGAAATATAACGCTGATATTGACTTGCATTACTTACAACAGTGTTAAATATTTGGGGGTGTCATTTAGAAGATAAAATTCCCAATAATATCCATATCTGAAATCGAATATTTGTGATGATTGATGGGAGGGGCCAGGAGGAGCTGAAGTAGGTGGTGGGAGAGGTTGTCTTCCTGTGAGACTGTACACATGTTCATTGTGGCACAGGTGTACAAGAGGATTACTGGTGTACACCAGGAGCACGGGTGTACAAGAGGATTACTGGCGTACACCAGTGGCACGGGTGTACATCAGTAGCACGGGAGTACAAGAGGAGTACAGGTGTACACCAGTAGCACGGGTGTACATCAGTAGCACGGGAGTACAAGAGGAGTACAGGTGTACACCAGGAGCACGGGTGTGCATCAGTAACACGGGAGTACAAGAAGAGTACAGGTGTACACCAGGAGCACGGGTGTGCATCAGTAACACGGGTGTACATCAGTAACACGGGTGTACACCAGTAGCACGGGAGTAGACGGGCAGCACAGGGTAAGTGGTATTTGAAAAAACTAAAATAAGTCTGGTAAGGGAGACAGGTACACAAGACCAGTGGACACCTGACAGTAAAGATAACTGGTCACAGTCTGTACATGTGCCTTTTCCTTGGCGATGGGTAACCATTGCACAATCACAGTACACTATCATCACACACATATAAAAATATATAACATATCAGATAATATTGTTCAACGTAATAATTGTAAGTCATTTAATAAAGTAATTAAGAAAACAAACACTCACACACGCATACAGAAAGTCAAGTAAAACAAGAGGAAAAATGTGTTGAATAATCTGGCATCTGCTCTACTCGTCTACTCTCGCGACGGCTCGACCCAAACACACGCAGTTTTATACTCGAATATGTACGAAAAATGTGCTTGAGAATGATATAATCACGCATGATGACCGGTCACTGAAGCCCGTGGCGCGGTGCACAAGTGCGTGTTACGGGCACACTCTCTCAAAGCGTTTGCGTCCACGCTAGAAGGTAAACTCTTAGAGTTGCAGCAAAGTTATTTATGTACATTGCGTCATGGACCTCACTGGAAGTGCGGGGTTAATGTAACTAACTGTTGTAACAACAGGAAATAAATCTCTGCCAGTGGACCGTGAAGGCCTCGTTGTCTCCCGTTACACACGTTATAATATTCCTGTGTTTGATAACACCAAAAGCAACAGCCGTGACAGATGACCTGAGCGCTCACTTGCTCTACCTGAGCCAGTCACGTCACCCGATAAGACGCTTCTTGCCTGATGGAAGTATCTGTGCGCTGTGGAGCCGGCCACCGACGCTGAAGGGTCGTCGCCGCGTCGTGAGCTCGAGGGACGGACCTGCCTTAGTGAGCCGTACTGGACGACTGGCCTTCTACCCGTAATTCGGGACTGTCATACGTCGTATATATATATATATTTAGCCGGACCTTTTGTGGGTCGGGAAGAGGTATCGGGGCTGCCAGGGTGTGGTCGGACTGTCATGCCACGCGAGCCTCGAGATGTATTCGGACTCAGATACATAAATAAAGACCATTACGTTTATTCCTTCCACATAATTAGAACTCAATGACCATCTGAGATATTGGCAGCGTATGTTTCGTCACGCTATATGTAACCTCGGCCTTCTTAGCATAGTTTTCCCCTTAATATCTGGTAAAACAGATGCTTGAGATTAGAGAGAGCGTAGCCAAGGAGAAGGGACGCTGGTGACGTTTCTCTCTGGTTAATAACCTCCCCCTTGGTATGGGCATGACAGAGAGTGATGAGGTTGGAGACGTCTCCCGCTCAACACCTCTCATGTAGCCACTCCGGTAACACCACCTACCCGGGGTGTTGGGGCAGGTAATGTATATTAATACATGCACAATGCCTCGACAGCACAGCTCCTGTGCCAGGTAAGTCCTCTACGGGCTCACCATAGCCCGTGCTACTTGCCTCACTCCTGTGCCAGGTAAGTTACGGGCTTCTCCCGTTCTCGCACTTTCGTATAGTCAATATTGACTTATTAAATACGTGCATATGTGACATACTTAACATATTAGTTTACGTTGAAAAACTTCATAGAAAACACCGACATTACCTAACCTTCTTAGTATGTTAAGATAAGCATCTTATTGCTTCGTAATTACAATTATTACTTAACTTATTATAGGTATAGGTTAAGTAATAATTGTAATTATGAAGCAATAAGATGCTTATCTTAACATACTAAGAAGGTTAGGTAAGGTCGGTGTTTTCTATGAAGCTTTTCAAGGTAAACTAATATGTTAAGTATGTCACATATGCACGTATTTAATAAGTCAATATTGACTGTAAGAAAGTGCGAGAACGGGTTGCGGGCTTACCATAGCCCGTGCTACTTGGAACTTGTTCCGGGTAGCTGGATCTAAAACAACAGCCTCAACAGTTGGCAGATGGGACAAGAATTACTCGTCCAGTATTATCGCATTTCGGGTTTAAGCTATGATTATTAAGCTGCCTCATTATCGTCATCAAACACGGGAATATATTTTCAGGAATGTGAAATCACATACATTAAACGATGACATTTATTTTAGTGAGACAATTGGTCTGGTTATCTGCCAGGTGGTGTGGATGGTTGGGGGGTTGGTGGCGGCCACTTAAAACACAAACCGTTCTCGCACTTGCTTATAGTCAATATTTGGCTTATGAATAAGTGCATATGTGGCATACTAATTTATTGTGAATATTTACAACACTGGGAAATACTCTGATGGTCTCATTTCTATTTAAGAGAGAAATGGTAATACAAGTAGTGACCATGCGTTGCATAGTTAGTTAGCGCTGCTCGGTTGAAAAGTTATATTGTATTCATTGTATTTTACTGGAACCTTTCGTTATCGTAACTAAAGTATTCTGCAAAGTTGACCGTCATCGTTTTTACTCATGTGTTAAATTTGTAATTTATTCAGCGCTCCGAGGACTAGAAATCAAAGTCTGTTAACGCATAATATTTTTTAATATTTTATTTGTTATTTTGATGTCACTTGTTGGACATCAGCTTCTTGCAAAAACTCGTTTCATTAGTTTCCGTATTAAGGATAAGAGCGTCAAAATTGTTGTTTAATAAGAACACTTGTCACTTCTCCTTTTTTTTGCAGGGATATTCCTTGGCGGGCCCTAAGCCTCTGGCTGACCCACTAAGTGTTGCTTGTTTCTGTTTTACTTGGACGGAGTATGAGTATTTATGACTCGTATGGTCGCTTCAGTAAGATTTTGTCATATGTGTTTAACAACTTCTTCTGCTCTGTTGAATCTAAGTTGAAATCTTAATGGGTTTGTAACTGTGCACTGTTAGACCTCCCCTCTTGTTCCGTACTGGTTGCCGGACACCTGAAGAGCAGCTAAATGAATACATGCAGATTAATATTAGTATTAATTCTTTTGAACATATCTCTTGTTAGCTTTCTGGAGGGTAGAAGTGCGATCTCTGCGGGTTTGTAGCACTGCGGCTTTGATTGAGATTGATTCAATACTATTTATATTATTTGCCAGTCATTTGCAACATTGATGTTCAACTGGTGGTCCATGGGTCTCTGGTGTGTGTGTGTGTGTGTGTGTGTGTGTGTGTGTGTGTGTGTGTGTGTGTGTGTGTGTGTGTGTTTGCAAGATGGCGCCAGTGGCTGAGTCAACTTGAGATCACTGTTCACACTTGAGCAAAGGTTGAATCAGTGTACACACCAGAGCAACATTGGCTCGGGTGGACTAATTCTAGTTCTCACCAGAGTTCTTGTGCTATATTGAGTCCAACAGCTTTAATAAGTCTCCGGACAAAAATGACAAATGACAGTAGCGTGAACGCACACACACATGGCAGATTGATTGATTGATGAAGATTAAGCTACCCAAGAGGTGGCACGGGCATGAATAGCCCGTAAAACACATGGCATACATGTGATAAGTGACGCTCCTCTGACTGCACATCTAGCGCCCTTAATCAGTCGACATAATATCGAGGAACAACGCCAATTCAACATGGAATTAACGATAATTAGCTGCAGCAGTTTCCACATTTCCTGTAATGGAGAAGATTTCATCAATATCTGAACTTTGTATTTAATGACCAGACCACACACTAGAAGGTGAAGGGACGACGACGTTTCGATCCGTCCTGGACCATTCTCAAGTCTTTGTATTTAATATTTGTGTCTGCAGAATCGAGCTATTAGCTCTTGGACCCCGTCATTCTAACCAATCTATTTTATTTCTATTATGTCTACTGCATGTATTGCTCTAACACACACACACACACGCGCGCACACAAACACATCCCCTGGAAGCAGCTATCTAACCCCCAGGTAACTATTTACTAATAGGTCAACAGGTGCATCAGAGTGAAAGAAACTTTCCATTTGTCTGCACCTCCGCCAGGAATCGGACCCGGGACCTTGAGGACTACGACCCCCGAGTGCTGTCCACTCTGCCGCGAGTAAATATATAATGTTTAGCCCTATGGTAAGGTAGTATAATAGTCTACCATTAGCCCCACTTATACTTGATACCATGATACTAGATTTATAAACAGAACTTTAGCTTAGCGCAAGATGAATATTACACTAAGTAGCCAGCTAGGACGTGTGTGTGTATCTTGAGTGAGAGCACAGGCTAGGACGTGTGTGTATCTTGAGTGAGAGCACAGGCTAGGACGTGTGTGTGTATCTTGAGTGAGAGCACAGGCTAGGACGTGTGTGTGTATCTTGAGTGAGAGCACAGGCTAGGACGTGTGTGTGTATCTTGAGTGAGAGCACAGGCTAGGACGTGTGTGTGTATCTTGAGTGAGAGCACAGGCAAGGACGTGTGTGTGTATCTTGAGTGAGAGCACAGGCTAGGACGTGTGTGTGTATCTTGAGTGAGAGCACATGCTAGGACGTGTGTGTGTATCTTGAGTGAGAGCACAGGCTAGGACGTGTGTGTGTATCTTGAGTGAGAGTACAGGCTAGGACGTGTGTGTGTATCTTGAGTGAGAGCACAGGCTAGGACGCGTGTGTGTATCTTGAGTGAGAGCACAGGCAAGGACGTGTGTGTGTATCTTGAGTGAGAGCACAGGCAAGGACGTGTGTGTGTATCTTGAGTGAGAGCACAGGCTAGGACGTGTGTGTGTATCTTGAGTGAGAGCACAGGCTAGGACGTGTGTGTGTATCTTGAGTGAGAGCACAGGCTAGGACGTGTGTGTGTGTATCTTGAGTGAGAGCACAGGCTAGGACGGACGTACGTGTGTGTGTGTGTGTGTGTGTGTATGAGTGTGTGTGTGTGCGTGTGTGTGTGTGTGTGTGTGTGTTGTCTGCTACAGTCAGCGCCTCGCCCCCTCACAGTCCTCTACCTTTAACATTAGTCATGTATACACCCTATACCCATCATGTGGGCCCCAGTGGAAAATGTTAAGAGGCTCACAATTGCCTCGGGAAATGAACGCTCAAAATCCACTTAGCTGTGCAAGTTGCAATGTTGCTCTTGTTCATTTATTAAGACACTTAAGAGTCATTACAGATGACATTTCTATTGCTTGTGACCTAATGTCTCTTTTTACATGCCGGGGCATGATTAGACTCCACGTATCTGGGTCAATGATCTATATATACCAGATGACGGTTGTCGGCATCACGGTAATCTGATCTGACCGCGCCAGATGTACCTAGATCATCCTTATAACACCTGTTTGAACAGAATGATGAAAATAAGCTAAGAAAGTTTTTAATAACGATCTTGGACTTAGCTTCTCACTTACAACGGAACAATAATGTCGTCCTTAGTAACCGTCATTTATGCAGCATGGTCTAACACCTGTAATGTATCACCTTGGCATTCCGGTATAGGGTTTGTGCCTAACTTTTTTGGCTTTTAATGCTTTAGACCTTAACCAGACGCGACGGACGGTTGACATTCATGGCTTTGTTGTAGTGTGTGGAGGACTGGTGGTAGTGTGTGGAGGACTGGTGGTAGTGTGTGGAGGACTGGTGGTAGTGTGTGGGGGACTGGTGGTAGTGTGTGGGGGACTGGTGGTAGTGTGTGGGGGACTGGTGGTAGTGTGTGGAGGACTGGTGGTAGTGTGTGGAGGACTGGTGGTAGTGTGTGGAGGACTGGTGGTAGTGTGTGGGGGACTGGTGGTAGTGTGTGGGGGACTGGTGGTAGTGTGTGGGGGACTGGTGGTAGTGTGTGGAGGACTGGTGGTAGTGTGTGGGGGACTGGTGGTAGTGTGTGGGGGACTGGTGGTAGTGTGTGGAGGACTGGTGGTAGTGTGTGGAGGACTGGTGGTAGTGTGTGGAGGACTGGTGGTAGTGTGTGGAGGACTGGTGGTAGTGTGTGGGGGACTGGTGGTAGTGTGTGGGGGACTGGTGGTAGTGTGTGGAGGACTGGTGGTAGTGTGTGGGGGACTGGTGGTA